AAGGAGGGATATCCACTTAAGGATCTTCAATTACAAAGCAAATATTAGGTGACTGTGGTTCATTTCAGCTTGGCCACTTCTGCATTTGCGTGGTTGGTGTCCCTTCACTCGTTTTAGCTCAACTTGGGTGTCCTGTGCTTCCCTGGTCCTGGATCACACATTTATACCAATTTCTATCTTGTCTTAGTTGAGGGAAACCACTACAAAGACTTCCTTATGGTGCTGGAAATTAAACTTCTTCTATACACAGCATAATATAGATTATGCTATAATCTATAGCACGTGAATAGTTGATGTGCAGAGAATAGCATTAAAATATTATTTTGAAGAAAATGGTCGTATTGCAGATTGTCTTTTAATTATTTCACCAATAGTGGTAGCAGGAGGTGGTGAAGAATATAGTCTAGGGACTGAAGGAATCTCTATTCTAGACTAGAGCTTTTGGCCAATTAGCTGTGCATCTTGGGTCATATCATTTAACCTTTCTATACTCTCACTTTTTTATCTCCAAAATAAGGCCCTCTGGCCCAGATTTGCTTCTGAAATATGTTTGATTTCACTGAACCATCAAAAACTTGAATGCCCTCTATTCAGTACTTCTGAGTTAAATTGTATTAAAGCAAAACAAATGACTATAAATAGCCATATTATGAATAGAATGCTCATATTTGCCAAGAAACATAAATTAGGCTGCATGACAAAAACATTTATTTCTGATATCAGTGAAAACTTGAGATAATTCAGTAAAGATGGTATTAAGCCGTGTAAATATCATCCAACTGTGATTTGGAACTGTGGAACTTTCCCCATGGGTGAGAACATCTGGGCAGTCTGTAGGCTTGATTTCAGAGATTCGCTTATTCACTACGTACTCGCTTTGTTTCTTCCGTATTTCATTATTCAATTAATAAGCATATATTGAGTTGATGCCATTGATTCATTCAATAAATATGTTATTCAATGTATTTTTAAAGAAGAATCTGCTGCATACATAACACTGTTTTCATTGTTAATAATGATATCAATGAAAAGATGAGCTCTTAATTGTGAATAACTAATAATATCATTTGGAAGAGAAAATGTATTTGTTAAAAAGATAAATAACTTTATGTTATAATGCATGATAAAGGTCCGAGAGAGATAAAGGCTCTAAGGGTTGGAAAAAGGGGGTGGAGAGTGAGCATGTCTTCTGGGTGAACAGGAAGGGTTTAGAAGCTTCTTAGGCTGTGCCATGACACAGAATAATATTAGCACAGGTGGAGAGGATAACAGAGGTCACTTTACATAGGGAAACAGTATGTGTGAAAGCAGTGAATTGGATAACATTAAGAGGTATATGAATTTAGCAAAAATCCAGGTCCATGTGCAGAGAAGGGCTTATATGAGAGACTAGTGTTGATGGGGGGAAGTGACGTGAAAGAATCTTCCATTTTGGAGAGGTTTTCAAAGTCAGGTGAAGAATTTGTTTTCCTTCCTTCCCTTCCTTCCTTCCTTCCTTCCTTCCTTCCTTCCTTCTGCCTTCTTTTCTTCCTTCATTTCTTTCTCTCTCTCTTTTCTTTCTCTCTCTCTCTTTTCTTTTCTTTCTTTCTCTCTCTCTTTCTCCCTTCCTTCCTTCCTTCCTTTCTTTCTTTCTTTCTTTCTTTCTTTCTTTCTTTCTTTCTTTCTTTCTTTCTTTCTTTCTTTCTTTCCTTCTTTTCTCACTTTCTTTCTTTGTGTGATATGTTTTGCTCAATGGAAATGTTTTTATTAATGAAGTCACAGAGGAGTCCTAGAGACCATAGAAAGGAAAAAAAGAAAAAACTGCAGGAAAAGCTACTAGGGTAATGAGTAAGAATGGGAATGGTTATAGAACATCAGAAAACATGATGGGGGTGGCAGAGCTTGAATGATGAAGGTAGGGTTCCTGACGAACTTGATAAGTCAGGTTGGCCAAAGACGAACTGTGCACATGGAAACTTCTCCAAGGCGTCCATCCCAATGGACGCAGTATACAACAGACTTTATTTGTCTGAAGGCATTTTCTAGTACTACTTGAAAGTTTTCTCTTTACCATTTGAGGGTTCCACCATACAGGAATATTTTCATACACATTTGCCTAGTTATATGCTGATTAATTGACAGATACATTCCTTTTCAATTTAGGCAACTTACTTTAATGCTTTGTCTGTTGCTGTTTAATTGATGACAAAAGTGGTAGGTCCAGAATGATCCGTCAGAGCCAGAATGCAATGCCCTACAGTTCCTGAAATGTCAATGGCATCATGAGAGAGAGATGTCCAGCATCTGCTCACTGAAATGAGCTCAGGCCTAAATTTCCAGGCATGTAGCATTAGGTCACTAAAACACACAGATATTGGCTTGTGGAGAAGAGTGAATTCTAGGGCCCTTGAAAATATTGCTAACCCAAGATTGAAATTGAAAAGTAGCAGACAAAGTGGGTTGTATTTCCCTGTATTGGTAGAGAACTTGTACATCACTTACTGTTATGGACTGAATTTCTTCTCCTCAAAATCCATGTGTTGAAGTTCTAACCTGCTGTACCTCAAAATGTCACTGTATTTGGAGATAGAGTCTTTAACAAGTTAGTTAAAATGAAGTCACTAGGATGGGCCCTAATCCAATATGACTGGTGTCCTTAAAAGAAGAGAAAGTCAGGGCACAGATAAATGCAGGGAGGGAGGAACATTTGAAGGCACAGAGAGAAGATAACTATCTATAAGTCAAGGAGAGTTTCCTGGGATAGATCTTTACCACATGGACCTCAGAACAAACCAACCCTTCCAACAACTTGATCTTGGCCTTCTAGACTGCAGAATTGTGAGAAAATAAATTTATATTGCTTAAGCCCTTCAATGGATGATACTTTGTTATGGCAGCTCTAGAAAATTAATACACTTACCCTTTAGGGTTTTGGATGCCTCACACATTAATGGCAAATAATAGTTTATACTTACAGTATCTATCAGCCATTGCCACAAAAATGATGTGCATGAGGTGGCTGGGACAGTCATACACATTCTGAGGCCTAAACTGAAGGGAGAGTGATTATCTGGGGAATATTCTTCTCATGGCAATGGTAGAAGTGCAAGATAGCAGACCAATTCCACAAGCATATTTCAGCTCTGCTCTCCAAAATTCCTGTAAGGTCCGATTGACCAAAGAAAGTCATATGGCCAAGCCATGACAGACATGTAAATGTATAAGATGAGAGAATGAAGAGTTGGAGAAAGTAATTCACTGTATGATACTTACCACACAGAGGCAAGAGCCTGGATGCGAAGGCCTTTTAAAGCCATTTTTCTCTAAGATAGTTCCATGACAATTACCCAGAGTCTAATTTTATTGAGAGCTTACTATGCAACAAACCCTAACCTAAGTGCTTTACAAGGTTATCCAATTAAACCACACAGATCTGTAGCTTATTATAAACAATATCCTGCTTGACTTAATCAAGTGTAAGATGATAAACCGTGGTGTCACACATCAGATGGTAATTTACCATTTGCAGACACTTCAAGTACAGCTCCTGAGACGAAGAACGGTGCCAGACGAAGAATGAATGTACATAGACATTCCATGCTGGACAAAGCATCCACAAACCAGCTAACTCATTTGAAAATGGCATTGTGTTTGTTCTGACATTGTTCCTAACTCAAACGACAAGACACAAAATAAACACAAAACTAAGGTCTTGCCTCCAAATAGACACTTGACTTACCTCTCAAGATAGAGCCGAAAGAAGTTTCAGAAGATACTGTCACAGCTAAGGCTATATAAGAACTCAGTGTCTTGTGACTCCAAGGCCGTGACACTGTTGTGAGAAAGTGTCTAATTTTTGCTTAGTAAATGTAAGCCAAATTATCTTAAGTGGTTTTTGCACAGGAATTGAGATTACAGATTATTACTGACTATGCTTTACAACTGATTTCCATTGCCTTAAATTTGAGCCTATTCCCTTAAAAAGAATGTGTAATCATTGCTACGTCTTAACTTTGAAGACAGAAAAGTAGAAATGGGTGTTCTTCTGTTCCCCCTCCTCTAGAAATCCCATTGAATCTCATTCAGAAACAGAAGTTCAGGCATTATAATAGAGAACTGTGTGAAATGGCCTTTTCTAGAATAGCAAATGTCAGTGCTTCAAGGATGAATGGCATCAAGATGACAATACATTCGATTATGGCATATAAATTAGATAACAAATATAAGAAATGCATTTACAACCCCCAAACATGCTCTTATATACTTATTAGTAATGATGTTTTACCAAATAATACCAAAAATTGTTTTACATATTAATCACTGTTCCTTTGTACATTTTCAACCATGTTTATATCTCTTACCTATATTTAATCTCTAGGATAAAGACAGAGGATTTGTTTTCATGTGATAGAAATAAATGGTAATCCAGAAACTGATGACATTTGGCATAGGTCAAATGACAATTCAGAGTTGGAGGAATGACTGGAAACTTCATCTTTGTAACAATCATTGAGATCCAGGGAGAGAGAGGAGCTGCCTCACAGTTCTTTACACATGTCGATTCATTCCAGTCTGGGCTGTTTACATTGTAAAATTTAGAAAGGCAATCTGTAAAATGGCCCTGGGGGCCTTGGTAAAGATTTCTCAAAGACAGTCTGAGCTCCCCATTCAGTAGTGTTTCACAACATGTGCTCACTCCAACACCCAGGTGTCATATTCAGAATTTTATTTGATCTTCCAATTTGGGGCAGTTTGACACCCTAGCAGAAGGTAGTTTAGTCACCTTTGTAAAGGACTTCATGACGACTGTTCTCACAGTAAGGTAGTTCTGCTGAGCAGAGAAAACAAACCAGAACAAAAACAATGCCAGAGCAGGTGTGCTAGCTGTTGGGGAAAAATCATTAGAGTGCCATTACTCAATCACTGTTTCCCTTATAATAATATATTATTTATTAAGAGCATTGTTTTTCTCCATGTCATTTTTATAAATCTCACATCTAACATTTATTTTTTTGCTTCAGATGTGCCACAGCAGAAGCAAGTTGTGTTGGCAGTAGGTGAGACAGAGAAATTTTAATCCTGTTTTCAATAAATCATCCTAAACTTATTTATAAACCAATATAATTTGAAGCAAGACACTTCTGATATTTTTGTCTTTTGTTTGGGTTTCTCACATGCAAAGTGATACATTTTAGAGATCAGAGAAAATGAAAACAAAACGAAAACAAAACTATTTCTCATGTTTCCCAACTGAAAAACCTGAAGAGTATGTACTTTATATGATTCTTTGAATACTTTACTAAGCAGACCAAACACACACATTCATGATATAGCATCTCCTTCCAGACTAGAAAGAGCATTGTTGTTGGAGACTTTTCCTTATCCTACCAATTGAAAATAAGCGGGATTCCATTTTCAGGTATCTTACTTCGTAAAATTAAGCAAAGCTTCCTGATTTAAAGTCTTTAAGTGAAGGTAATAGAGTGTGTTAAGTAACCAACTAATATTCTGCTGAAAACCTGACGACTCTTGGGGAGGCCTCATAGAATACGTATTATTGAATAGTGAGCCTCATACCACATGTTTTTTATTTGGATAACTCCAATTCTACCCCATTCCCTTGTCATTTCAAGCAGCACTCTCACAGTTCAGGCAATCAGCCGGGACCTGGAGGAAGAGAACGTTCGATCTCTTCTCCAAAACGCAGGAGAGAGAGAATGTGAAAACTGGAGCAATTGCCTCAAAAGTAGGGCATGTGACTATCTAACAAAATCCCCACCTCTGAGAAGACTCTCCACAGAAACGTCCTGTCATCCCCTTGAGACTGTATCAAGCCAGTTTGGATGTAACACTGTGAAAATGCTATAGATGTCGCAAGAGAAATTATTCCTTTTCCTAAGATGATTATGACAAATAACTCATGTCAAAAATAAGGAAACTTACCCTAGGAGTTTTATAAGCACTGATTGGCAAAAGGGGAGCAAGGGTGGACCTTGGACATTTTGCATTTCACATGAGCTCATCTTTGGTAGCCTGGGTTGGGTGAGTAGGGTCAGTTAGAAAGGAAAGTAAGCTGAAGATGAGAGGGAGGCAATAAAAGGAAACTTTGTAATCAGGCAGTTTCCTATACTGTTGGTATTAGAGTTAGTGTCATTCTTAAGGTCTAGTGTCTCCCACTAGAAACATCAAATGGGCAGATAAATAAGGTAATCATGAACATAGTCACTTCACAATTAGCCAGATTAATGGAAGACAAAAACATAGTGGAAATATTGGAGGGAGAAGGAGAACACATACACTTAAATGGATAATTTATCATTAATTTAATTTCCTATTGACATTGATTAGAATTTAGGAAATAGACTGAATAAATAAATGAGGAAAATATAGTGCTAAGTATAAATCAAGGCCATCCAAGGCTCATGTGCTTCCAGTACAACTAGACAGCATTTCCTGTGATTTTACCATGTGCCATGCAATACTCTATGTGCCTGCTGGAAATAACTTACATAAACCCTTACAAAAAATGGGAATTGTTTGTTATTCCAATTTTGCAGAAAGTGAAACTAAAGCACAGAACGGTTTGACAACTGGCTGAAAGGACCATGGGACTGACTAGAAGAACTAGAGTCCAAATCACATAATTAGAATTCTTCATCATTATGACCCTATACTTCACCATTATGACCCAATCTCTAGATTGGGAGAACAAAACGGAACTTGGGCTTGAAACAGAAAGTAGGGTATACGTGTTTAGTCAGCTTACCTGGGGGTTGTTGCCCTTTAAGTATTCCCTAATTGATGGCTAAAATTCATTCAGTTATAAAAATAATAACAAATACTTGTACAAATGGTGGTATAATATCACTATTTTAGTTCTACAGGATGTCATTGACAAATGATATGTACTTTTTATTCCTTCTTTTGATATAAAGAAATGAACTTGTGAACCACTGGACATACTAGGTACTTTAGTCAGTGTACATTGATTGAAAACAAGTCATTGAAGTATTGACTTGAATTAGATTTTATTGAAACATATAGAGTTATAAATGATAGTCATGAATATTAGTAACAACAAATAGTGACTTTGTTTTTTTTTAAGACCATAAGCAATTCTTTTAACCCATGTTATTTCTGAATTTCTGTCTCTTGTTCTGACAATTTTTTAATAGAAATTATATGGACTTCATTCATTTAAAAATCTGTCTTACTGGGGACATTACTTCATAGGTATGTGTAAATTTCATTTGTCTTTTAGGAAACAAGATAAAGGAAGAACTCAAAGAGTTGAGAGAAGGTTTTGAACATGATGATGGAGAAATAGCACTTGGGAGAAATGAAGATACTTTCTCCTCCCTGGTTACCTGAGTTTCCAGCACCCAGTGATAAGAAAGGATGCCATTCGTGATGTGTACACCTGCAGTGATATCTTCACCTTTCTAAAGCAGATGCCATGGTAGACATTTGCCAGCTCTCCTTTCACTGTACACACAGCTTGGTGTATGCTGGCAGACTTTTGACCTAATTTCTTAACCCTCATATATTCCAAGACAGAACAAAGCACACAATAAAACCTGAATGAGGCCAGGCAAAGTGGCTCATGCCTGTAGTCCCAGCACTTGGGGAGGCCGAGGAGTGGGCAGATCACTTGAGGTCAGGAATTTGAGACCAGCCTGGGCAACGTGGTGAAACCCCGTCTCTACTGAAAATACAAAAATCAGCCGTGTGTGGTGGCAGATGCCTGTAATCCCAGCCACTGGGGAGGCTGAGACACAGGAATCACTTGAACCCAGGAGGGGGAGGTTGCAGTGAGCCGAAATTGTGCCACTGCACGCCAGCCTGGACAACAGAGCAAGACTGTGTCACAAAAACAAACCAACAAAAACCTGAATGAATGGAAGCAGATAAGTGCAGAGAGAAACACCAATTTACCCTCAGGAAAATAAATTAGTATATCGGTATACCTGTATATTGCTATCTACTAGTATAGCTTCAATTGGTGTATGAGTGTAGAACTATTAGATTGTTCTTTATGTGATTGCTCCTTCCCAGTTTTAGTAAAATATTCCAATTTGAGGGAAATTCTTTTATTTGTCAATAAAATAGAGGAAATTTTTAAAATATGTATCGTTCTTCCTTCATGCTAGTTGCCTCTCTTTTTGATATTTCTTCTATAAAAATCTTTTCTTATATTCATTTTTCGTTGTATAGATCATGAAGGAACCATAGTGATTATCAAAGATCAGCAGATAAGTTCAAGGCAGAGTTCCACCTTTCTCCATGACACCCTTCCAGACTCGTTTACATGTAATACTCTTGAAGGCAAGACTCATGTCTATTCTATCTTTGCTGGTATTTGGCACATATTAGGTACAAGGGCAATTTGACCATATCAATTAATGATTGATAAGAATGGATAAAGTAGATGTTTTGTGAGGCTCTCAAAGAAGATTTACAGAATATTTTGGAAATGGGCCCAATTTTGTTTCTAAAGGAAAATTCACTTTCAAATTAAAAAAAAAAAATCACTCAAATGAGATTTTGGGGGATTTCATATGATTAACTCTTTACATTATCTTGTGGTAATTATACAGAAATCGCTATTTATGTAAACACAGTAAATGCATCATAACACTAGAATAAGTATACAAATACTGCATGTCAAATTAGGTTATAATCACTTTCAAGGGACGTGATTTCCTAGCTAAACAGATTCGTTTACATTTTGCAAAATAAAAAATAAGTGAAAATAACTATATAAAATCAGGCTTACAGCTGGACAGATCTTCTTGGCAATGGTCCAGACACTGAGCAGGGAAAAGCCCCTCCAGCTGAGGAACGCTCAGGACGCTCAGGATGACTTTGCAGGCGCGGCCGGGAGAGGGGCCCTTTTGGGGGTTGCCTTGACTGTGCACCCTGTTCCTGGCTACCTGTGGGGAGATAAGCTACATTCACATTTCAGATGAGACTCTTTTTGTGAGAGGTCTAGGGTGGGATGTGGGAAGTGGAGTGAAAATCTGCTTAGTAGGGGAGAAAAAAACAAGCAATCCAACACTTCACCTTTAGGTAATAAACATAATAGAAAAAGTCAGGAATCCTCTAACTGAAAAGCAGATAGTGGAAGCTAGCATCGGACTCACTGAATTTTAGAATCAGGGTTTGTGTATCATAGATTGTCTGGCCCAGCCCTTGTCACTGGATGAGGAAACTCTTGGCTATAGGGGAAGATGCAGTGCTAGGACTGAGATCCAGAATGCTCAAATCTGTAGCTTATTTATGAGATAAATCTCATATTTTCAAGAGAGAAAATTATTTTAAAACTACTCATTTCAATGCATATCTTAAAAAAAAAATACACTTTGGGAGGCCGAGGTGGGCGGATCATTAGGTCAGTTTGAGACCAGCCTGGCCAACATAGTGAAATCCCGTCTCTACTAAAAATAAAAATTAAAAAATTAGCTGGGCATGGTGGCATGCACCTGTAGTCCCAGCTACTTGGGAGGCTGAAGCAGGAGAATCGCTTGAACCTGTGAGGCAGAGGTTGTGGTAAGCCAAAATCGTGCCACTGCACTCCAGCCTGGGCAACAGAGCAAGACTCTGTCTCAAAAACAAAACAAAACACAAAACAAAAAAACATTTCACATCTCCCTAACTTAGCCAACACTTTCTGCAACATTCTCTTATTTTGATGGCAGAAGGGCATAACTGTAAACCTCAGTTTTTATATGATATTATATAATATAGTGGCATCCTTTGTGGCCAATTGAATGTGAAGAACAGTTTCCCTTTACTTAGCCTCCATGAACATTAGCTTCAAATACTCACAGACATTAATAAGAGCCAGTTTGCTAAATCTGTGTCTCTTTCATGTTCATTTGCTACTTAGTTTTGTTGATTCCAAGAAGTCACTAAAACAATTTTTTAAAATCATAGATTCTGATTTCGAAGTAGCTTCATTTTTCTGGTGTTGAGTAAAATGTGCGTGTGTGTGCTTTAGTTTAATTAATACTAATTTTTACTCAAAATATATTTGTTGAGCACCTACTCTCTGCTATGGCTGGGCATACCTTACTTTCTTTCCACAGTCTGTTGGTTGAATTGTCCTGAGCAGGGGTTGACAAATGATGGCCTGTGAGCCAAATCTACCGCACTGCCTGTTTTTGTAAATAAAGCTTTATCAGAACACAGTCACACTCATTTGTTTGCACATTGTCTGTGGCTGTTTTTGCACACATGGCAGGGTTGAGTAGCTGTGATGGAAATTATATGAACCACAAAGACAAAAGTATTTGCTATCTGGCCTGCAACAAAAATATTTGCCGATTTGTGGTCCTGAGTATGAACCTTTAATTACCTAGCTGGTTTGGTAAGAGAGCGAAATAAAAATAGGTAACACCAAACTGCAGCTGCCTGTTCACTACTCATATTCAAGTGTCTGTGGTCATAAGAAATAATCATGGCACTGAATAATGCAGAGAGAACTAGCAAAATCCTAGTCTTCAGAGAAATAGAAAGCTCTTCACATTTGTTTAAACAATTTCCAAATCCTGTTCCTAGAACCATCCCTAACCTGTCCTAATGCACAAACTTGTAGCTTTTGCATTACAAATTTATTGTTATTACTTTTAACTCCTTTTTTTTCAGGAAAAAGGTAATTAGGCTATAAACAGAAGTCTGACAACTAATTTCAGACAAGGCAAAATTAATACAACGCCAGCTGATAATTTTAGCCATGTGAAATTAAAATAGATATATTTTAATGGCATTCTACAAAATCCAAGTTTAATATCTTCCCTTTGTTTTCCCACCTTCCCCTGTTCTCATGTGAACTGCTGCTCTGTGGGGGTAGTGACATGTGCTGATAAAGGTCATTGCTTTAGCTATACTCTCTGTCCCCTTCTCCTGTCCCCACTATTGATCTTTGAGTAGAGAGCTGCTTCTTCCCTTTCCTTCTCAGGAGTTTCTCAACGCTGAAAAGACAGGACCATCCAAGGGAAAAGTATTCAGTCCCAACTCTTCTTACATTTTCAAATGTTCATTGACATTAATAAGAGGCAATCTGCTAAATCTGTATTGGGGCTTCAAGAATGTAAAGGTTAGTAGCTGTGTGTGTTTGTGTGTGTGTGCGCGCGCATGTCTGTGTGTGTCTGTGTGTGCATGTGTATTTCTAGGGGGAGATTCCAACATTGCTGTATTCTGTCATTCCAGGAACATATTAAATATGCATCCCAATGTCAGCAGCACCTTGGGATGTTATCTCCAAAATTATCACCTGCCTTCTGAAAACCATAACCCTACAAATATTGATTGGTTAAAAGGCAGGATCTGAAGGCATGAGTCAGTGTCTCGCTGGATTATCCTAATCAAATAAGGATAGTATTAGCCCAGATACTCACTGATCTGCCAGTATTTGGTTTGAAATGTAGGCATCTCAACTAAAGTTATGTGTTTCATTTTTTTGAATATTTCTTCCAGACATTTAAATGCATTACCACTAATCCAGAACCAAGAAAAGCATAAAAAGCATTTTAGGGAATAAATTCAGCAAGTTTCCATTTGTACCAGATAGTAAAATTGTTGACATGCATTAGGAGGCATGTGTATTGTTCAGCCTGTCCGGTCTCAGTCATGTGCACAAGGTTTAATATTTTGACTGCCAGGGGTGATGTAGCAAGGTCCCAGACCTTTTAGGGAGCAATGCTTCCTTGTAAATAGAAAGATACTTTCCAAGTCACCTGGCATAACTATTTAAGCAAGTTAGAAGAAAAGCTTATTTCATTAATTATGCTACAAATGTAACTTCAATGAAGGGTAACCAGCTAAATACACGATGAAAGGGCTGGTAGGAATTCTCTCCATCGAAGTGTTAAGCTTTACACAATTTTATTTAGAAGCACTTCCATTACTAAGGAGGCTATGAATTGATCAACTGTATCTTAGAATTAACCACAGTGGTGAAAACACAAATTACAAACCAGCATGAAGTCACAAAGGGGAAGGAGAAAAGAGAAGTAGCAAAGTCAGGCACTCATAGGTACTCTTCATTTTCCTTTCTGCAAATGAGTATTGGACCAGCAGCCCGGAGTCGTACATTAGTAGGAGCAAGCCAAATTATTGTTAGGCAGAGAGTCTAATGAGAAGTGTTAACACAAGGGTTTTCATTTCTGTTCTCATTTGCTTCTGTTTCCAGAGGAATCTAGATTTTGTTGGAGGTCAATGATTGTTTCCTTTGCTTGATGTGCTAGGATGAAATATGATTGGGGAAAAAAGGCAGAATCTCTACTGGTAAGTGTTGGGACTACGAACTGTTTGAGTGGGCCATTGAGCAATGTTCCAGTGGAATATTATTTGTAGTGAGGGGCGGATGTGATAAGTGCTTGGAGCTCACTTAATGCCATCACCATCTTTGAATTCTTTTGTGGGCACTACTCATTCTTCCCAGGGAGTATTAATCACGGCAATTCTTCCCTTTTTGTTCTTTTCATTGGAGAAATTAGCACATATTAAAATTAAACTTTAATTCATATCAGAATGATAACCCTTTTTCCTCATTTCCTAACTGATTTTTTTTTTTTCAAGATTCAAGACACAGAAAAATACTTATGTTTCCCACAAATGGCCAAGGTGGAATTTCTTCAGAAAAACACTAATTATAATCTATTGAAAAATAACTCACGTGTTGTGATATATACGTCTTTGTATTTTCTATAGTGACATTTTGTTGACAAAACCAGTAATTGTTGAATAAACCAGGAAGACATTTTGCTTTTATTTGCACATCCTTTCAATGTACCAAGTGCTCACCTACAAGCTCTTTTGCTATTAGAAGATAAACTCACAGCAGAGCAAACTTTATTACTATTTTAAACAAAAGGAAGCAGACTCCATGATGAAGAATTGGCACAGGTTATGTGGCTGGCAATTGCTGGATTCTTGAGTAGAACTCCTGATTCTAGATGTGTAAGTATTATGCTAAACTTCCTTTGTCAGTCTATAAAATCTTAAATTTTTATTCAATATGGAAAACTTGTATTCTCTTGGCTTTTTATTTCTAGTTACCCAAAACCAGAATACAGTTAGTTGAAATCCTCAAAGCATGTCTGAGTTTCTGGGAGTAGAGTTGTG